CTTCTATCCGTCAGTGGGTAGGTAGGTCGCGGCGCCTGGACTCCAGCAGATACTGAGGCGTCCCCGTGCGCCCCCCGCCGCCGCTCACCGCTGCTTACGCTCCGCCTGCTGGAGCCGTCGGGAGAGATCCTCGATGCGCACGTTCTTGAGTTGGAGCAGGTGCTCCAGGCGCCTCACCTTCATCTGCAGGACCTGGGCCGCGCCGTGTAGAGGTCAAGTTCGGCGGCCCGCTGCCTCCTGCCCCTATCTCTGCAGGCCCCAAACCCCACCCCACACCTCGCCCCCGAGCCTTCCCAGTGCGCCCTCACCTGCACTGTCTCCTGTGAGGCCAACAGCTCCTGCTCCTTTTCAGCGATCTGGAGGACGAAGCTTGGGTCGCCCTGCAGCGCTTGGCTATACGCGGTACTCCGCGGAGCAGGCGGCTGCCCCGCCCTGGGGTGGGAAGAAGCTTAGTGAAGGCCTCGATCTCAGACCCCACCGTCACCTCTCCAGTGCCCTTGGTCAGGTCTCCCCTCTTCCACCTTTCCCCCTTTCCTGCCTCTTCACCTTCCCAGGTGCATCCTGCCCTCACCCCCCACTCCCAACTTGTGCAGGGAGATCACCAAGCCTGGTGAGGTCAGGAACTCCCAGCTTCTTTACCTGAGCTGCCCCTCTCCTTGGGGGCCTGGGGCACCTTCCCCTCTGGCCTTCTGGGACAAACCTGAAACAAGGCAAGTGGAGGACTGACGTGCTGGAGTCCCATTGTCCTGTCTTGCCCTTCCCCACCCTCACCCCCACCTGACAGCCGAAAGGAAAGACAAGGAGAAAGCTCCTCCTGTGAAGAAGAGAAAGGCCACCTTACCTACATCCATGTATCCACTGCCATCCTGGGGAGCCAGCTCCTGAAAGAACCCACGTGGTCCACTGTGAGCCCCGGCTCATCCATTCCCACAGAGCCCCACGTCCCTTCCGCAGTACCCCAGGCCAGGCTCTCTCTAGCCTGGCACCCTTCCCCTACACTCATCGCCAAGGCGGGGATTTCCGCCGCCTGGGAAGCCCCCCAGAGCAGCTGGAGAAGTTAGAACCGGGTGGCACCTGTAAAGAGCCTGCGCCCTGCTTCCTGCGTCTTTGCCGCTGCTCCAGGCGCTGCCTCAGCGGGATGAGCACCAGCTCCACCACGCCCGGGGCGCACTGCGCAATCTTGCGCATCACGTCGTCCGGTACCGAGAAGTTCAGCCTGTTCAGCACCTTCCTGGGGGGTAGACGAAGGGGTGGCAGACTAGGTCCGGGGGGAAGTAAATGAAGGGGATACGGTAGAAGGAAGGTGGCACGGGGTCGCAGTCCTGAGTGGGGAGCCCTGGGAGAGTGAAAGGGCACCACATCTGAGACACCTTGCTTGGGTGTCCCGAGGTTCCTTGTCTAACTCCCAGTAGAAGAGTTCCTTGATTTTTGTTACCAGACGGATTCTGTCTGCTTTGGCACTCTCCACTCTGACACCAACACGGTCGCAGCCTGGGCAGCAGAGACCATAGCAGGTGAACGGGCTGGGGCAACTCTTCCTGGGAACCGGGACTGGTGGCTGGAGATTCTCACTCCTGCACCCGGGTATCTTTTACCTGTTCAGATGACCCCAGTTGCTGAGCTTCTGCTGGAGAGAGTTGGCAGGGACATAATTGTGCATCTCTACCATCTTGGGGAAGTAAAACTTGATGATCTCTGCGACCAGGACTGAGTGAGGTGGGTGGGAGCAGACATGAAAGGTGGAGGAATGGGGAAGGGGGAAGGGGTGGGAGAAGAGAAGGGTGGAATGGGAGAACCAGGGGTGGCAGAGTGGTGGAACACAGTGGAGAAGCAGAGACGCAGAAAGGGGAGGAATGATAGGGAGGGAGAAAAGAAAGCGAGATCAGTGATTAGGCAGAGATGAAATCTCCAGCATACCTTATAGGAGCTGCATCCCTTCCCCATTCGCTCAGGGCATGGGAAACTGAGATCTCTGGTCCTCTAGTAGAGAATGAGTCTCCAAAACAGCCCTTCAGGAGCCCAGGGCCCCACCCTAGGAATTCACATGGGTACACACACACACACACACACACACACACACACACACCCCAATACCAAGGTCCCAGGAGAGTCACAGATTTGCATAATCAAAGATATACGTGATAAGATCCCTCTACAGATAAACACATAAGGCAGAATGTGTAGGTACACAGGACAAACACCTGCCAGAAACACATAGGTGTACATATAAAGCACACACACACACACACACACACACAAGCACAAAGAGTCACATATGCAGACAGCTTCCCCAAATATACATATACAGAGACATACTTCTGTCATTGAAATCCCAGGAGACATTCCTAGAAACACAGACACTTAAACAATCACAAAGAAACATTCATGCAAGACTCCCCTCATAATACATACAGGACATAACATGTTAACAAAGATATGAACACATACGTGCTCAGACTCCTCCTACAGGACAGACATAGAGAACACACAGCACATACAGAGATGCACAAATACAGACACAGATACACACACATCACATGCACACAGGATAGAACATGTAGACATACGTGTAGACATACATTGTACATACACAGTTGCAAATAGAAAACACATACACAGGCACACACACAAACTTCTACAATTGAAGTCCCAGGAGACAGATTCCTCCCACCCTTCCACACCCCCCCACACACGCACACAGACACCTTACACACGCAGGACACATACAGGACAGAACATGTAGACACACACAGGGGCGCACACCTCCATCACTGAAGTCCCGGGAGAGGTTTCGCTTGGGCCGGGACAGAGGGATATTGTCCACCCACAGGTACAGCTGGTGCAGCGCCTCCTCGTCCACGCTGCTCGCCATTGGCGCCCACGACGAGGCCAGATCGTTCCAGCCTTGCGGAGTCCAGCCCCAGCCTCACGATTCCTCAAGCGCCTCCTCTCTCGCCACCGCGGTAGCCCAGACCCGCCTCCGCTTCTTTAACCCAGGGACTCACTTCCCAACTGGGAGCGGCCATATTGTTTTCTGAAACCATGGCAACCACCCTCTATAACTCCCCCTAGAGTAGAGGCTTCTGGGAATTGTAGTTTTTTCTTCCAGCAACTCCTCTCAGGCCAAAGCTTTGAAAATGTGGTTATATGTCCTTGTCTTCCCTCCTCCCCAAGAAGGTATAGCCTCTGCGCCCGCCACCTGCTGACCAGACTCTGACCCACTCTGGGACCTGCCAAAGCCGATCAGGCCCCCAGAACTCCTGCACCAACATCGGGGGACTGGGAGACCCCTTCTGGGCCTTTTAGCTGTGGGTCACAAATGAAGGCAGCACCTCCATGTTTGTCCGCTTTATATATAGAGGCTCACAGTTAATAATCTGCCACCCACTGGACTGTGTAATATGCTGTGACAGAGCTTCCTTTTTGGGTCCCTTCCCAAAGCTGTGTGCTCATAGAACCATTGCTACTCCCCACCTCCCAGCAGTGTTCTGGTGGGACATTTAACATGTATCCCAGGGAGAATGTCAGAGTTCAAGGCCAATACCTTGGGCAGGTCATTTAACTCCTTAATCCTATTTCCTCCTTTGTGAAACGGGAATGGTTTTCACCTACTTTTCCCAATGGGTAATAGAAAAGCTTTGCAAATAGGAAAAATATTTATATTTTCATAAGACCTATATTTGTATGGCGACCGGGGGAATGGATGCTGGTTATAGGTATAGAAGCGGCAAGAGCTCCTGTAGACACTTCCACATCCCTCATCCCCTCCAAAGAGCTATTTTTCCAGGGATTAGAAATAGATTTAAAGGGCCGGCCCATGGCTCACTTGGGAGAGTGTGGTGCTGATAACACCCAGGACACGGGTTCGGATCCCTATAGAGGGATGGCCGGTTAGCTCACTTGGTAGAGTGTGGTGCTGACAACACCAAGTCAAGGGTTAAGATCCCCTTACCAGTCATCTTTTAAAAAATAAAAAAATAAAAAAAAAAAAGAAATAGATTTCAGCAACTGGTTTCATTTCAAAACAGCACTACCCTTAGGAGGGTTAGGAAAATGAGTCCCTCCTTAGTGAAGAGACACTTCTAGGGTCAGCCTGGGGAGAAAGCTTGCTTCCACCACAGACTAACGGTGTGGCTTTGGGCACATTACCAGACCTCTCTGAGCCTGTTTTCTTATGGTACATCCTAATGGCTTTGTTAGCATCTGAAGTGTTTAACACAGGGCCTGGGACACAGCAAGGGCCCTATTAACATCAGCTGGTGTTATCATTAATGAGACAATCTCATTTCCACCTGACAATATTCACGTGCCCGAGAATATCTTCCAAATGAGGTGTTCTTGTTGGCAGGAGACAAATGAAAGTGATAATTTGCCTTGTTGGTACTTGAGGTGAGGGACCTGGGTTGGCCAAGGGCACTTGGGGAGAAGGCCACTGCTCCCTCTTACTCACTCTAGACTAGGCCAGAGGATAGGTAGGGCTTCCTGTGACTTTCTGGTCTTCTCCTCCAGGGAGGGGCGAGGGAGGGGAGTGATGGAAAGAGGAATCTCTACTTTTTGTTGTTACCTAGTTTCAAAGCCTTCAAGGCCTAGAGGGGATCCCTGAGTGCCAGAAGTGTGGAAGGCAAAGAGTGGAAATCACTCCACCTTGTTTTAAAGTCATACATAGTGGCCTTGCCTTTCTAGAACAGACCACACCCAGGACAGGCAAGGGACAAAATATTACCTGGATATCCCCCCCTTAACATTCCAGGGTAGGGAGAGGAGGAACTTGATGGGGGGGGGAGGATGTCCCATCCTAGAGGGGGATGCACTTCTGAATTCCTTGTTCATAAATGCAAATGATCACTTTTTAGTGGCATTTTTGACGTGTGTTATTAAAAAACATCCCTACTTCTCCTTTTGAAAAGAACTTTCGAGGAGCCAAATTAATTTTGGAGATGACAAACCGGTTTGGGGCCCAGAGCTGCCTGCCTAGCTCAGACTCAGGCTCTTCCCTGGCTGTAACTGCTGGGCCTGAGAAGGTTAGAGGGAGGGACTGGGCCCTGAATGGAGAAAGGGGGTAAGATCAACAAAGGGGCCAGTCCTCACCTTTGGGCTTGGTGCTCCTTGGAGAGCACTGCACAGGGAGTTACCAACTCACTCTCAGCCTCTTGGGGTTGCAATCTGTTCCCAGCAATTTCACTTTCCTCCTGTCACTGTCCCCAAGCGTGGTCACCAGGCTTGGAGATGCCAGTTACTGAAAGGCCTAAAGGGCTTCTTCTTAAGGCACCAAAGGAAAACCAAAGGGTACCCTATATGCCCCTCCAAAATCCAACGTGGACCACAGGGACTGCCCAACACCTTTTTCTCTCTGTTCTGTCCCCACTCCCACAAGGGCCTACTTTAAGCAGCCTTGGTAGGCCTATCCCCAGCTGCATATTGTTTGATTTGGCCCAGTAGAGACTGTTGGCTCCCTCCCTCCTGCCTTAGCAAAGTGACCTCAGCTTCTAACCCCAAAGCAGTGCATGGCTAGACTTCCTCAAAACCACCCACAGGTGGGTACCTGGAAGACCCCTTCCTCCCCAAACCCAGATGTAACATTGAGATATGTATGCTGAAGGCTCCCCCTGCCACACACCACAGTCAGGGCCACCCTCTTAGCACTTGCTTCCATGTCCCACCACAGCAAAGACTAAAGGGAACCAGGAAAGCACATGTCACCAAGACAGACGCAAGCCCAGACCATGAAGGATGCACCCTTGGCTGTTAAAATGTTCACTCCCACAAAAGGGAAGTGGACAGATTTATTGAATTCAAACTGGGAAAGGAGCAGCTGGACAGCTGGACTCTGGGCCCAGCCCCAGGCCCCTCTGCCCAGGATGGGCCCTGCCAGAGAGTGATGAGAGGCATGAGGTCTGCAGCTGCCCACAAGGGAAGTGCCCATTGTCACTCCCCTGGAGGGCCTCCTGGAAACCTCCAAACTGGACAGAAAACCAAGGGCCAAAGTCACATGGACTGGGCCAGAGAAAGGGACTGGGGAGGTGGAAAGCAGGCAGAGGCAGGCTCAGGAGCCCAAGGTGAGTTAGACTGTGCTTCTCGAGGAGGCCTGGGGGTGTGGGTGGGGGACTGCCAGCCTTGTGGGGCCCTAGGCTGGACCTTACTCTGGAGCCCTTCCCAGAATGGCTTTGGGATCCCCCCCACCAAAGACCTGATGTGAATGGCAGAGGGGAGAGGCACTCTCTGGCCGGGAGCTTCCAGAGCCCACCCTGGTGGTGGCTGCTGTGGTCTAGTCCACTGATGGCACGGTGTGGTAGCACCGGACAGCTCCCCACCCACCCCACCTGATCCCCCGAGCCCAGGGGCAAATGGGGAGGAAAGAGGATTCTGAGAAAGAGGCAATAAGCAGGCAGTGAGGCTGACCTCAGCCCCTGGCCCTACTGATGTGACTGGGCCTGTCACAGGGCCAGGGGAAGCATTACCAAAGGACCTGGGGCTCCCCACTCTGGCTCCGTCCACAGTGGCTGCCCAGAGAGTCCTCTGCCCTGGGCTGGTGCTGCCAATCTGGGTTGGCTAGGCCCAGTGGCTCAGCTTTGATGTCCAAGACCCCGAACTCCAGCCTGCCTGGCGTGGTTCTTCCTGGTCACATGGACCAGATCATGTTCCAAGTGGAGGATGTGGCTCTGCACACGGTCGTCAATGGGGAAGGACGTAAGGTACCTCTTGACCATGGCGAAGTAAGCCATGGCCTCCCCAAAGCTGGGTACAGGCACCTCATCACCGTCCTCATCATCTTCATCGTCGTCATCATCATCATCCTCATCTTCCTCCTCATCCTCACTGTCCGACTCTGAGTCCTCCCCACCTTCCAGGAAATGGAGGGTAGGGTACTGGGCCTCCTCCTGGGCACCATAACCCCCGAAGCTGCCACCGGCCTCCACCACTCCCTGGGCCCAGTCCTCGGCCTCCAAGCCCTCAGAGGAGCTCTCCTCCTCTTCCTCCTCTTCCTCCTCACTGTCATCAACATCACCCTCCTCCTCCACCTCCTCTTCCTCCCCCAGCCCCTCTCCTTCACCCCCTTCCTCCTCCTCCTCCTCGCCTTCTTCCTCCTCCTCGCCTTCTTCCTCCTCCTCCTCCCCTTCACCCTCCTCTTCTTCTTCCTCTTCTTCTTCCTCCTCTTCCTCCTCCTCCTCTTCCTCCCCCTCACTCTTGAGAGAAGTGGTGATGGTGGCATTAGGGCCACCCCCGAAGCCGGCTTCACGAAAGCAGGCGGCTATGTCCGAAGGCTCCACTGCCTGCCAGGCTGCAGCCACAAAGTGCAGGGCCTCCATGAGGCCCAGCTGCAGGCCCGAGCGATCCTGGCCCTCTAGCGCGGCCATGGCCTTGAGCAGCATAGCCTGGCGGTAGTGGCCCTTCACCTGTTGGACCACTCCCCGCTCCAGCGGATGCACGGTGCCCGGTGGGAAGAAGGCCAGCTGCACATGCCGCAGGCCCGAAGTGTCCAGGGACTGGGCAGCCAAGCGGCCGGCCAGTAGCAGAACCCGGCGAGACTCTGCAGCCATTCGGGTGTCCAGGGCCTTCAAGTACTTGGCCAGGGCCTGAGTGGTGACACCACCCTTAGAGTTGGCGGTGTAGTCACAGGGCAGACCGGCTTGGCCTGCACGGGGCTTGGCAGACTTGCCGGCCACCAGCGGAGGCAGCTTCTCGCTGCCGTCTGCGTTGGCGCACAGCAGGACGCTCAGACGCTGGGTGGCCTGGCGTGTCCGTCCGTCGCCTGCGCACAGCCCCGCGGCCTGGTCAGGCAGGAGGTCGTACCATAGACTGGTCTCGGTAGCGCTGAACACGTCCTGAGAGGCATAGCCCTCGGCCACCGACGGCGGCTGCTCCTCCAGAGCGCGCCAGCCCGTCGTACCCCCACCGCTGCCCTCCGAGGGCACCGCGGCGGGGCTGGCAGGCGCTGCAGGAGCCCGGGGGGCAGCGTTCCGCGCCCGGGCGCGGGCCACGCCGCTGCAGGACACCACACCGTGACGGCGGCGGAAGCGGTCCAGCCAGCCGTTGGAGGCGGTGAAGTCGTCC